AATTAACAATGACCATTTTATTTCAGCCAGTCAACATCAAGTTTAGACTAGAAGACTGGACGATAAGACCTCCATAGAAAAAATAAATCATGGTTCCGGATTGTGTTTCTCATAGTCTCGAAAGAGGGACTAAAATAACCTCTCAGTGCCTCTTGATTCTTAGTGAATTTTCACCTTATGTCAAGTTAAGAGAAAAATTACATCATTTAGTTTGTCGTTCATATATAATACAGGTGCAAACGTGCATAAGCCCAAGTTGTTTTACTACATCAGTATATTAAATGAAGATTAACAGGATATGCATCACATAATTAGGGGTATGAATATGCTTATAATAGAAAAATATACTTCAAGAAGAGAGAGTAAAATAGGGGAATTTAGAAGTACGAAACAGTATTAGGAAAAACGATAAAGGACGAATCCATAGAAAAATGTGAAAAATAGTGTGCGATTCAATATCTGAAACCACTAAGGTTAGAAACGATAGAGACAAAGTTTTGACAGTGAATTTTTGTTATTTATAATGGTCATTAATACAAAATCCACCTGCAAATTGACAAGAACTTCCAAATTACCCCAGATATTAGATTCCTCATTGGTTTATTTATGTAGTAAAATGGATTGTTGTTTAGTAATCAGTATTATGGAAATGGTTTGCTTAATTTATTAAATAATTTATTTTCGACTTCATACACTCACATAATTAACGACGAAAGGAATTAATACCACTTTTATTCAGCAGAGATCTAAATTGTTTATCTGAAAGATCATAGATAAGCTGCCAACTTGAGCTACCTTAATGTGTATAATTCAATTCACATATTTTTGTAGAGGAGTTTATATTGGCTGCACAAAGTGTGAAGCTTTTGAATGGATTTCTGAGCTCCACCCTCCTTAGCTATCTAAGTTGAACAGAAATCGGTCACTAGCTCAATCCTTGAACGTTTGGTTACCTCTAGTAGCATACCTCTACCTTTATATTTTAATATAGGCTATGATATGTCAAAGTCAACTACAACTACTATTATTTAGGTTCAGTAAATAACTTCATCAAGCGAAAATTCTATTCTCTGAACAGTTTTTCGTTTGTTTAATTCACTTAGCTGTTATAATTTTAAAATTTATCAGGCAACATTCTGTTCATTTTTAAAGAATCAATAAAATTTTGGCTTTTCAATGCTATACGTAAAGTTCAGTAAATTACTATAGGATTCTATTCTCTTCTTTATTAATACTGGTCATAGCTATTGTGAAATTACTGATTATATTACTGTACGAGGTGGTGACTACGTCTAGTGGTTCTGTTATTATTCAAAACCATGCTGAAGTTGCTAATAAACTGTTAACAAATTTCATAGTACACCTCTCCAGAAAAGCTTCCAAATATTGATAAACTAAAGCAGTTATATGATACATGGTAGTTGTTTAAAACTTATCGTTTAGGAGTCACGGTCTTGTGCTGACAAATGGTCACTAAAAAATATCGGAAACATTTGAGGGACTGATAATAGCCGTTGGTTCAAAACCCCACTACTTGGTGTCGCAATTAAAAATCAGTTATTCTCTAAGATTCAGATATTCACCCTAATTGATCGTTGTATATCAGACAACTTTATATTTTCTAGTTTTACGTATTGATCCACTTCCAATGATCATGTTTGCAGTATGATGGATAAATTAAATGATTTGATCTGCTGCTTCACTTAGTTTAGAGTGGTGAACGCCTTCAAGATGGTTATTGAGTCTCAGACGTAACAAAACTTAGGTCCACGACTTCCTTCCGACTACTCTCAACCACAAAACATCAAAAAGGCGTGCCTAAATGTCTAGTCACTTTGTCTGTTGACCAAAATTTAAGCTTGATCTGAGAGACTTCGGTAGTAGGCAGTACAGATTTGGTCAATTCAAAATCATCAATAAATGTCGTGTTGTCTAGATTCATTTCAAGAGTGATACAGGGAAAGTATGAAGGTTTTTAGCTAAACAATCATTATGTGGTTACAAACAATCAATGAATGTCAGCTAACAGTTTTATAAAATATGTCTATTCATAACGTTTTTTTGTGAAAAATAATTTACAGAAGTTACTCAGATAGTTGCAAATATCACTGATGAAGTTGAATAATATCCACTCGAGTTCTTAAACTATTTATAAACTTCTGTGAGGTTACAGATAAACCCTGATGATTACAAACTAATTTAAAATTTAGGTTTTAGACTTTCTATTAATTGGCACTCACTATTATATACATTGACTGCCTGCTCCAAAACAATACACATAAAAGAATGCTTTGTTCTACATGTAATAATATAATCTATAAAAAGTAGGTTATTTCCAATTGTTTAGTTAATTGCCTAGGTTTTTAAGATAAAATCACATCTATTTAGTTGCCTTGCTGCATAATTATTTCTTCAGAAATGTTTGCAAGTATGGATATACTCATTCCTTCTGATAAGGTGATAATGTTACAAGACTCTAATTTGTTTTTTTTTCTAAAATCTGAAACACAACCTTCCCATCATTATTGCTTATTCTGACTGAAATCAAACAACTATCCATATTTCCCTGCTATTCCCTACTCTGATAATACACACATATATGTGTATATGTAAGCGTGTTTGGAAATAACGTGTACCACCGGTTATTAAATGAACAGTATTGATTTAAGCACAGTTCAAAATGTAACACTATTTGCAACATATGGTAAATAGTAGTTATTTTATTTGCGTCCGTTCACTAATAGCTAGTTGATTCGTTATGAATAAAACATGGCAGTGTTGTTGACTATGATAACGGTGTTGGTAAAGAAAAATAATTATTCTATTCCTTTGGAAATTAAGACAAATTGTAATTTGTATGAATATTAAATAGTTACATTTATGTCTATTCGAGATATATATATATATATATATATATATATATATACTTGTAGTTGTTAATATATTAATTTGTAGAATAAAATAATGCATGATACACAAGACATAGGCCATTGAAAGTTCACATAAACTACTTCAAGTTATGTACCGAATTGTTTTACCCCAATTAGATATTAGATATTCTTCGTTTACGTGAAGTATAATTGACTAGTGTTATAGACATCAGTCAATTACCTTTCCCTCTTTAGGTACTGATGAATCATTATAATTCATTGTCTTTCTTAGATTTCGCTGTTCACAGAAATATATGTGGCTTACTTCAGGGTGCAATTTAGATTTCTGAGATTTTAAATAGTTATTAACCGTCATCATTTTTAATATCAATTATCAAGAGCTAAATTATTAGATTTTCAAAAAATGGTTAATGTTGTCTATAAGTTTTATGGTGAGGGTTTATTTACAATGTTAGTTTGTAACGCTTCCAAGTGTACATTGACTAAACACTTTGTATTAACAAATGTTGTATTGTCTCATTCTGGTCGAATCCTGTTTATTTGGGGCCCAAATAATGTGTTAGTAAAGACCCTAGTTACAACATTTTGTAATACAGTTTCAAATCCCGTTGGTGTATTCAGCTTTTTGAAGGGCAGGAATAAGTCTAGATTAGGATTGCCAACTGGTACAAAACTTCGGTTTATGGTTTCCTGCTAACCACCTTCAACCATGCCTATGAAAACGACCCATTTGGATATCACAAAAAATAAATTTATTAACAACTAAAAAACTTTGGGTAGACTATTTTACACAGCTTTTATGTCAGTACTCTTGGTGGATGTCTGTAGGAAAGTGGGATTAATTTAAGTCGTGTAATAAACAAGCTTTCGAAGTAGACTTTTAAAAAATCGCAACAGAATACTGCATTATCAGGTTGTATGCGCTGATGTTTCATAATGAACACGGAATTTAATAGCTGACATTTCGGTGCTTTAGTTAAATTATGATTCAATGTGATTAATGACCAGGTATTTTGAATATAATCTGCTGATACCTTTAATAATCCTAAATGTATGTCATCCAATCATTATTCATATAGTGACGAATTATTAATATCAATTGAAAGACCTTAAATATATAATTAAATTTACGTAACGTTGAGTAACGTAGGAAATTTAACCACTCTGCATTATTTCACCGTATAATTTCTATTTGTTTCATGGACAGAAATAACTACCTCCTCACAGTTATTATGAGTCAGTAACACAGTTTATCAGCAAAGCTCAATCAGTTATAAAATAACAAAGATGATCCGTTCCATTAATACTGGGAAAAGTTCACCATATTAACAGTTAGAAGTAAGATTTGTGGTCTATTTTTGTAAACGTAAAACAGTGTAAACAGTAAGTTTGACAACACAGAACAGAACATTCCGAAACAGATCAACCATTTTTATAATTTAAGAGTAATATATATTTTCCAGACTGCATCTACTGCAAACCAGAGATTACTGGTCCGCCGTACCATTCTAGTATGGAAACCTTCAGGAGTGTGGATCCGTAGGCCTACTAAGGATCGAACCCAGGGCCCTTGGGTTACATTGAGAACTGTTAGATTCAAGACCACTGACCCAGTATCTAGTAGCTAACGTTGACATTGAAAGACGGTTGAGTAATACTACGAATATATTAAAGTCAAAGATGCTAACCAATAGGTGCCGGGCTAACGGTCTAGTGGTTAAAAGCCCTTCGTGATACCTGAACGTCCTTTGTTCAATCTCCAACGGGGCATTAGATAGGCAATGCTGAGCAGTCTTGTATTACGAAGAAATAAATTACTAGTACTTCCCGGTTCTCATTGGATTAGTACGTGATGTAGTCCACAAAATCCAACAATCTACACAAGCATCTACAGCAATCAGTAATATCTTTATTTAATTGATATATTTGTAGCATAAATTTCAGTTATGAGCATGTCGTGTATAGAACTACTGAGAAACACGTACCAGGAAACTCAGTATTAGACGTCAAAGATGGATCACTGGATACTTTACATTTCATTTTATACTACTTATTATATTGACAGTAGTTAAAAATAATTGTCCATATAAGTTAAGGAAATGAACTTACGTGTTGAGAATTTCTTCCGAAATTTGTATTCCTGTTTCCTCGAAGGATAACTGGGTTATTTGCTTCCTTACTCATACTGGTTTTCATAATCTGAGTGTTATTTAGGCTCTCTGAGTTTAAAGAGAATTCATGTTTATATTTTTGTGAACTGACAGATGAGGTAGGTATCGTTACTCGTCTACGTAATTCGCCAGATATGTTATTGTTCGTTAGATTGGAGTTTGTGCTCGCCTTAATTATAGAAACAGATGTGGATTTTGGCTACACGTGACAAAAAAGCCATTGAAAAGTGTAATAAGTTTAGGCATTGCTATTTATTAATATTACCTTTCTATTACTGAAAAGAGTTTCAATAAACATAAAACTTGTATACAAAATTCTCGGATTTGTTTGTCTAAAACCGGTATTCACTTAGTAAAAAAGAAACACATATTCTGTATTTAAGTCTTTTTTCATATTATTTCTTTAGAATAGCATTGTTTTAGCAAAACATAGCTAGACAGATCATGTCAGTGAATGAATTGAGAGAAAAACGCTGTCTTGAGAGCTACTAAATTACGTTTAGTTAAATTGATCATTACCGAATTATTGTGTCAAAACCTTGTAAAGTTGGTTGTAGCTAAATAATATAGTTCCCCTTAAAACCATCATCACTTGAAGAGAGAGTAAAAGCTGAAGGTTATGTATATGTAGCTTTGGACTTATGGGATTTTCATGAACATATTGCTAAAGAATCATTTGATGAATTGCATATAAAAACAAATAAAAACAATCTAATGAATTAACTTTGACGTCACCATCACTCTCGAATATCGTCCCATGAATTAAAGAGAAAAGAATGCCAAATGAGTACTAATTTCAATTGATTCATAACACTAATGAAGAATCAGAATGCTCATACACAATATAGAAAAGTTGAAATCACCTGATTATATACACTGGATTGAGAAGTGTGTTCATTTTCCAATGTACTGTTGCTGTGTAAATGTTTTATATGATTCACCGGTGATGAGATTGATACATTGTAGTTAATATTTGTGCTACCTTGATTTTGCGAATTATATGAATCTGACAGAGATTTCGTCTCATTTAAATCAGAGCGACATTGATATTGATTTACTGTTTCAGTTGGTTTATATTGTTGGTTGGTATTACCTGATATAAAAATGTAGTCATGCAACATAAAACTTTGAATAGAAGTAAGTGAAGACAAGAAATACTAATAACTTGATTAGGTTACAGAGAATTATTGTTATTGGTTAGTTTGACACTGTAAATCCAGTTTAATTGAATTCTATGAGATATTATCTACTTTATTTATTTATTTATTTATTTATTTATTTATTCAGATAATGACTATGCAGTGTTTCCATTAATGATATTAGTTAAGATTTCATCGAGTTGATGAATAACTTCCTCATTTCTATTTTGATTAATTCAATTATTCCAAATGGTTCTACAATACGCTTCAACCACAAAACATATGTTAAAATATTCTTCAATTGGAAATATAATGGTTCTTGGTTAAGAAAATAATAATCTAGGAAATATTACTTGACACTAGTTTTGATTATAAATCAGTTTGATGACAGGTTTAATAGATATATCTATTATATGGCAACTTATAATAGCAACTTGGTGATCATTTCACTGCATTTAAAGTAGATCTAAAAGATTAAGCTGAAGGTTGACGACTCAGTAACTTCACCGTTAAGAGCAGAGTTACCTCCATTAGTATGTTTATAAGTTACCACAACTGAATAGGGCAAACTACCTTAGTGAATGCAGTTTTTACCTTAGGTAATGGTTCTGTACAAGCCCTTTAATGAAAAAAAGTGTTTTAAATACGACGTAATATTTGTTAAAGACTCCGTTCAAAGTCAGGTATCAATTAATCGGCATAAATTCCACCTTTGGGTTAGATAAGTCTGTATAAGGAATCAGGAATATGACTACATCTTCAGGTATGGTGAAAGATGAACATTTGCTCAATACATTACGAAACAAACTTGAAGCATTTTGGTTTTAATCGCTTTACTGTTCTTGAGTTTCAAAAATTATTGGTCCTTGCAAATGCGTATATTACTAAGAAAAAGGAATAGACTTAATCCATACCTCAATTGCAAAATATTATTTTTATTTGTTGTGCTGTTCTGAGTGTAATTACATGAGACATTTATATGGTTGTATGTACCATTATGTAAAATACTATGTCGACACCTTATATTCAGCTTGATCGAACGAACCTCTTACTTTTAGGTTGTGGCTTTCGAAGTTCATTTCAGATCGATACACCAATGCTACAATTCATGTTCTTCATATAAAGGTATTTGGCCAAACAATCTTTGAAATGTAGGAAGTTTTCAAATCACATAACGTATAGTTCATTTACTATAAAAGTAATTTTAATAACCCACTGTTTAGTGAACAACTTGAGGAAGGTATTCGCCAGCATTTCTACCAGTTTTCATGCTGATAACGGCTTAGTATGTTTGAAATAGGAGGACTAATGACGGTATACTATAAATTTCAGAAGAAATTTACGATAAACAATCTCTGTATATATTATGCCCTTACGGTAAAGTTGATTGATAGGTAAAAGGCTCAGCTATAATATTTCTGACTGATTAATCAAACAAATGAAATCCTTGTCTTGTGATTTCCAAGATTTACCATCGGGTTAACAGAGTACCAATAGAGCTTGCCAAAAATTTACAAAGTTTAGATTTCAGTATCTCTTACTAAACTTAATATACCACTCAGAAACAATTAATATAAATCAATTAAATTTAAATTTAATTCCAGCAAAATAGTTTCTAATCCTGTTTTTTTAAAAAACAAAACTCACTTAGTTTTGGATCGTGACAGCCAACTCTATTGATATTTTGATTAATCAGATCGGTTTTGGATTTGTTTTCAGAAGTATTTTCATGATTCAATTCTTTCTTTGAAGCCTAACCAGAGAGTGAAGAATATCAGATTATTTGAAAATTTGCAAAGTATCATGTACAAAATAAAATATAACATGACAATAATGTTGTTTTTATAGTTTTAATGTTTTCCAACCTTGAGTAATTATTTATAGGGAATTTAGACTCAGTTTTCTGGTTATTTCCATAAAACAATTCAAGTTTATATAAACAATATAAATGGATGAGTCATTTTTTAAAGAACTAGAATTACTATAGAGGTGATTGCCTATTCGTCTCTGCTAATCGTACCATAAAATTTGCAAAGGTATTTTCTGGTGAGATCTGCATCAAGTGAATATGTTTTTCGTTGATTAGACCGAATAAAATCATTGAAAATAAAATAAAAGTGAATAGCTGTTATGTTCCGGATTGGACAGGCACTATTGATGAGTTAGAAATTATGTAACTAGAAAATATTTAGCAATTATAAGCTATTATCTGTTTGAAGTATTAGCGATCTGGTCCATAGTTTATTAGGCTTTATCTGTATAAATTTAAAAATAGCTCGTTCTTCTTCAAGTTCTCCGTTCCTCTATTAAAACTAACTGCTGATATTAATTAAATGTCAGTACTTCTAATGATCAATCCAGTATTTAAGAGAACGCTTTTATTACCGTCTTTAAGGATTATATAACATGCCCACAGTATTATTAACTAAAAATTTTCATGAGATCACCATGGAAAACCTGGAAGCACTGGGTGGCCGTTTCGTCCTAGTATGGGACTCCTCAGCAGTGCGCATCCACGATCCCGTTCGCAGGATTCTGGCTCAGGACCTTCGGTCTTACGCAAGAACGCCTAACCTCCAGACCACTGAGATAATTGTAAGAATAGAAAGGCAACTCGCTTGAGAAAACATTCGGAACCAAAAAACGAACGAACCAATGAATTTCCAGTTGTTTTGTTTTCATTCAGTTCAACTGAACGCAGCATTTTTCGCATTTTATGTTGAGCTTTCTTTTCCACTATAATCTACAGAAAATAGAATCGTATTTGAAAAATAAAACTGATTACTAATCTTAACACATAACATAACACATGACTGATTTATCGTCGTTCGGATTACTAAATTTTCTAATGGGCAATTTACCGAATTCATTCATTAGTTGGTTATGCCCAATAAAAATTACAGCTATTAGAAATGAAATCAGTAGAAATGTAAACAAGGATCAGAAGGTTGTAAATATAATGTCAATTCTGGTTGCCTCAAGACTCATTATTAGAAATTTCTTTCACGTCGTTTATAAATAACCAAATATTCTCAAATAAAATTACATCGATAAACATTGATAGCATTTGTGATAATAAACGAGAAGAAAAGTACCTTAAGGTAAGGAAACAATTAAGGGAAGTCTAGATAATGCGATTCGATACAATCTAGGTAAGGTTTGAATAATTGACAAATTGTTGTTTTAGGTCTGAATGTAAAATAACTGTAACTGAGTAGATTAAATTCATTTCAACTGGATTCACTTATGTCGTTTAGCCTTCAAGCGGGAAATATCTTTTATTTTCCGCATAATGATTATTTTACCATTGGTAGTATGTCTTCACAAACAAATCTGAAGCTTTTTAGTAATAATACCATTTCGAAATCAACTAGATAATACTGAAATTCCATGCTTACTATAAAAACCTCCAAAGCGTTGATGAGGACACAATTAGCTCAAATTCTCGGTTTAAACACCCAAGTACACAGTTTTTTCCTTCATTTGACACAATTTTGATAAGTGATTATTTTGTGACAACTACAGATGGTAATTTAAACAGAAAACAGTTACTCATAAGTATTTCTGAGTACTGTAAAATGTACAACAAATTTTCGATCCAATAAATTAAAAACTCCATGTTAATTATTATTGCAGAATAAAGATAAAGAATAATCGTTGTTTGAATTACCTCATATAATTTTTGACGATAATCTGATACGCTTAATTGTTTGTCATCTCTTAGAATTGGGGTAACTGGATGTTTCAATACGATTTCAGATGAAGGATCACGAAAGCTGTTTGATGAAGTTGCACATGTGTAAACATATGTATGGAGAGAGAGAGAGAGAGCATGAAACAAATGAACATTGAATCATCTAATTTGCACATTAATATTTTATAATTTTTACTACTGGAAAACCACTTAAAATTAGGTAGTACCAAACAAATGTTTTATCTTAGTTGGTTTTCACTATAGTCAAATGAAATAATCAATCTAAACTTTGAATCCTTCCAAATTACATGGATGAATTTTAAAAAAATATAACCCATAGTCTGAAACATTTGGGGGCTGTATTACAAAGTCAGATCTGAAACTTTCAAACCTATTAAAAAACAGAGATATAGTAAATTTTAAAGAACATCAATTAGATGAAGTAGTCAAGAGAATTAATCAATGCCTGATACTTACTTTTCCACGTAACTATGATTTAATGCTTGTTCAACGGTGAAGCGTTTCTCTGGATTCAACTGAATCATATTTTCAAGTAAATTTAAAGCTTGTTCTTCTGTATTATTTGAAAATAACGTACGTAAGCGACGATATGGTCTATAAAAGAAAACAAAACAAGAGAAAAATTGTAAACAAATAATAATAATCAAATTACATTTATTATGTACTATGTATTATTACTGATGGTGCCGAAAGCTTCCCTTAAACACGTCTAACTTTTATCATTAATCCCTTGTCTTAAGAAACCTCTCGTTTTGCCCTTGTGTTACTAAATTTTCCTGTTGCATAAATATCGTAATTTCGTTAATATACAGGTCTAATAATACTTCACAACGAGAATCAAGTTATTACAAACCATATGTCGGAAAGACAGTTCAATAGCATTTACACTCAATATCCAATAGAGAACAGTTAAAGTTAGAATAAACAGTTAATACCTGACTGATTACATTTTCAAAAAAACTAATAAACATTATAAGCAAAGATGGTTAGTGGCTAGCAGTGGGATCCAGGATGCACGAGAGAGTGGCTATCAGGACTCAGTAGCTAAGTGGATAACGCGATGACGTTTGAAGCGAACGGCACTCGGTTCGAGTCCCAGAGTGAACATCAACTCAGATGCAGGTACATCCAGCTGACGAGTCCCAAATAGGACGAAATGTGCATCCTGGATTCCACTACTAGCCACTATCCACCTTTACTTATAATGCTTTTAAATTAAGGCAAGATCGAGGAAATACGCACAGTATGCACATATACCAATAAGAGACTGATCAATTTCAATCATAACCATTAATGGGAAGGTTCAAGTAAAACAATACCAAGTGAACTAAACTAATAAACACTTTTTATCAATGGCTTTTTCGGCTATTGACAAGCAATTTAAAACGTTTTATCTCTATAAAACCTGTAACTTTCCAAAGCGAATTACTTAAGATAGAAAAAAAATTAGTCTGTTATATTTTTGCAGTAAATTTGTAGCTCATTGTTAAAAACATTTAATTTAACACCACTAAGTTATAACTTCAAGAACAACACTTGTTTGTCGACATTAATCATCTATTATTGTTCATCATAGTTGTCATCAATAGCTTGGTACACAACCGTATTTTTGCGAAAAATCGTTTTTTAAAGCAATTCTTTGGGTTTTATTTGACGATGAAAAATCATACTCCATAGAAAGATATTTCAAGTACTTGAATTTATCAGCGGTACATAAAAAATACTTAGGGGTTATGAAAAAATTGCCTCAAAGAAGATGAGAAAAACATCTATACCATGAGCTGCGAATATTTGTCAGAATATCATAATATAGTGACTGCTCGGAAAATTTCCGTTAACTGAATCAATAAAGAATATAACTAGTTTACAATGATAATTTTTGGAAGGAAAATGATATCTTATTCAACCTAGTGACACTATGCTATTATTAGCTTACTTCTGTAAAGCTTTATCCAACACTGATCTACCGTAGTCTGAATGAAGGCATTCAATGTCTGTAAAATAAAGAGTAGAGATAACTACTTAACGTATCACATAAAAGCAAAAACCAATTAAGTATAATAATGGTCATATATTAGCAAAAATGCAAGTCAACTACACGCAATATGGTTAAAAATATATCAGAATTATTTCTCTCTCCCTTTGATACTATCGATAACATTAATTGGAAAATATGTTACGAGTTATTTGCTAAAATACACTAAATACTCTTCCAACTATGAAATAATCACTGGTATATCTCGATGCTTCACGAAGAAATTTGATCATTTTAATTACCAGTGGAACATTACTTACTTACTTACGCCTGTTACTCCTCGTGAAGGAACATAGGCCACTCACTAGCATTCTCCATCCAACCCTGTCTTGAGCAATCCTTTCCAGCTCTTTCCAGTTGTTATTCATCCTTTTCATATCTGCTTCTATTTACCAACGTAATGTGTTCTTTGGCCTTCCTCTTTTCCGCCTTCTTTAAGGATTCCAAGTTAGGGCTTGTCTCGTGATGCAGTTTGACGATTTGCGTAGTGTTTGTCCCATCCATTTCCATCGTCTTTTCCTAATTTCCTCTTCAGCTGGAAGCTGGTTTGTTCTCTCACACAAAAGGCTGTTGCTGATGGCATCCGGCCAATGGATGTTAAGTATCTTGCGTAGACAACCATGTATAAATACTTGCACCTTCTTGATGATGGTTGTTGTAATTCTCCAAGTTTCAGCTCCATACAGTAGAACTGTCTTGACATTCGTATTGAAGATTCTCACTTTGCTATTGGTTGAAAGTTATTTTGAGTTCCATATGTTCTTCAATTGTAGGAATGCTGTCCTTGCTTTGCCAATCCTCGCCTTTATGTCTGCATCTGAACCTCCTTGTTCATCGATGATGCTTCCCAGGTATGTGAAGGATTCTACATCTTCCAGAGTTTCGCCATCATGAGTGGTTGGATTGCTGTTTTCCGCTTTGAATTTGAGGACCTTGGTTTTCTCCTTGTGTATGCTGAGGCCTACTGATGCAGAGACTGCTGCTACACTGGCTGTCGTTGCCTGCATTTATTATTGTGTATGCGATAGGAGGGCAAGGTCATCTGCGAAGTCCAAATCGTCTAATTGGTTCTGAGCTGTCCATTGTATTCCATGTTTTCCCTCAAATGTCGAGGTCTTCATAATCCAGTCGACCACCAGAAGAAAGAGGAAGGGAGAGAGTAGACAGCCTTGTCTGACTCCGGTTCTTACTTGGAATGCATCTGTCAGCTGTCCTCCATGCACGACCTTGCACTGTAGTCCATCAATGAGTAGTTGCACATTCATAAATGTTGATTTTCTCAAATTCTCTTATTTGTTGCACTAGATGACGTACAGTTACTCATTGTTTTACTGAGATACTTGAATTACATCATTTGGATAAAATTTTATCAGAACAGGATATTTCAATTCTAATTATAAATTGAATGTTGATAAATAAATTAAGTTAGCAACTTTTCGGTGAATAGTAACGTGCTCTCTCATTCCTACTATTGGTCGCTTTCTATTTAATCAAAGTTAACCGATAATTGACAAGATTTACTTGAGACTTCACTCAGTTAGTCAGTCAGCTACAACGTAGGACCAGGGAAATAAACGCATCGCTCCGAATTGCCATACCTCAATAGCACGACAAGATGAACACCATATTCATAGAAGCATTACTTTAATGGTAGTAAAAAAACATTCCATATAAGGATATGATACAGGGAGAAAGAATAAGTTCGTAGAAAGAAAGGTACAAAGTAATTTTAATCTCATGGTTTAAGGGAAAGCTTATGAAGAAATAATTCTGCTTCGAAGAACTGGAAACATCTAACCACAATCTGAGAACTCATCGACTACGAATGTGTCATGAACAGTCCATCGTAGAATTACATCATAAAATTACGTTATAGTTTTCATGGAAAGAATGTGAGTACCACTGTGAGTCGTACACCATAATATTGGTTATTACTATGTGATTCAAGAAAGTTTCCTAGATTAACATTTATTGTTGATGTAGCATTTTGTAACAGGTGGGACTCCACCAAGATTAAACACCAAGTTCACATCTGAATTGTCGTTCGATGACCAAATGTTCTACAGAATCTGGTCCAACAACGAGTAAGCTGTGAAATCAGTTTATGGAAAACTTCAGTAATTTATATCAACAGTAGAAAACCTTTAGTCAAGTGATTTATTTCAACTGGTTTTAGACATATAATATAAAGTTAAGCAAATTGTTCTTGTCAAACGTTTGCGAACTGGTCATTAGTTCGAGTTTTGAAGCCGATACAATTTTTTCCAATCTTCAATAATATGTAAGTAAAGACGTTGACCACATTGTCTATTATATTATGACTATTGATACAATTTATACAAAGGTTGTAAAAGATTACATAAACGTATTTAATTATCTTTACTTCAACAAGCTTTAGTTAGTTAGATCATTACTAACTGGATAGAAAGTGGATAATATCCCCTAAATTATCAGGTTTTGAAATCGGAATTAAGATATAAAGCGTTAGTCAAAAGTACTGACAAAATTCTTGAAACAATAGGAGTGGGACTGTTAATATTAGAATGACTAACATATAATGTTAACTTGAACAAGCTTATACGGTAAATGAAAATGTCAAATTAATGATTATCAGAATAAATATGGGTAACATAAGATGAGATAAATAATAATATAATTACAATTCAGATCGAATATTTGGTAGAAGACTATATAATGTATGAAGTTATATGAATTCAGTAAGGAATAATAATACTGTTGATGTATGGATGATACTTTCATCATCAGCACTGAAAGAACATGACAGCTTGAGGTTCTGAGGCAATTTAATGGAGTACACCTACCTATTAAGTTTACATCTAAAGAAGAAATTGGAGGTAAGATAACCTTTGAGGATTTTCTACTAGAGGAGAGTGTTGATGGGTTAATAAAAAGGAATTTAGGCAGGTAAAGTACCTGAACGAGGTATCACACATGTATCATTGACTCCGTATTTCTACAACACAAAAGAAACCTGATAAAAACTCACAGTTATAGAATACATACCATATGTTGTACGGATATAGTTGGATAAAAACTAAACGCCCTTAGGGAAAATGGATACCGTGCGAACTTTATAAATAAATATATGCCCAGGCTAGAATAGGAGAGCAACAAACACCAAATAAGAAATCTCCATTGATTCGCCTATGGTTCAGAGGTAATGCAGCCAGTGAAACACTAATCTAGAGATTACATAGAGCTATCCAGGGAACATTCAGCACCGTAAAATTCGGATAATCTTTTTTACGCTCCTAATGGAGACACTGAGGCTAAAAGATGAATTAATTAGGATGCCCAACTCGTTATGTATTTATCAGTTCGACTACCCCTGTGGATAATTTATTTTGGCCAAAGTTCCAGAAATTTACTTTTTTGTATTCGTGAACACCTCCAAACGTGGCTAAGCAAAGATGTAGTGAAGTCAGTATGCGGTTTAATACCAGACCATTTAGTTCAAACTCGTCATGGTGCCAGCGTAAGTCAATCATTCTCAATAATTTATCCCATTAGTAATTTCCTGTCAACGTCTATCTTAATTAAAGTCCTTCAAACGGTGGAGGTGATAGCCATTTAAATTATAAAACAAGAACTATGCGTGCACATGAAACATATTTAGCCCCTTCTCTTACCTTGGCCAACACCAGGGCCAATGAATCAAAACTAATATTAATTATAGAATGACCTAATTTGACCAATTTACGCAAGGCCTTTCTTAGTTTTGTCTCTTCATAGTTTTAGTTATGAAATGATCTAAGCTAGACCACCACTCGAAACCTGGAAACAATAGACGGCCATTCTGTCCTAATGGGGGACTCATTAATAGTGCGCATCCACGACCCTGGACACTGTAAAACTTCGCTTCTAGACCGAGCTGGTATACAACGGTGCTAGTGTCTTATTTTCTTATTCACATATCTTACTACCGGTTCAACATCCCTATCAATCTTTTGAACACATGATTAATTTATTTATTATCAGAAGGGGTTTTGTGAAGATTTTAGTAATTTCAATAGTTGAAATCATGAGTCAATGGAAACTAGACCACCATGGAAAACCTGGAGGCACTGGAAGGCCGTCTCGTTCTAGTATGGGACTCCTCAGCAGTGCGCATCCACGATCCCGCCCCCCGCAGGATTCAAAACCAGGACCTATCGGTCTCGCGCGCGAGCGCTTAACCATGATTTCAACTATTAATTTAGTTATCTCTTACCTCACTTTATTATTTCTTACTGAATTCATATAACTTCATACATTATATAGTCTTCTACCAAATATTCGATCTGAATTGTAATTATATTATTATTTATCTCATCTTATGTTACCCATATTTATTCTGATAATCATTAATTTGACATTTTCATTTACCGTATAAGCTTATACAAGTTATCACTGAATATTAGTCATTTGGACATTAAAAATTTTGGTTCATTTTAAGAAATAATCTTAAATTCACATGTTATGATTATAAACAATGTATTTGAGTTAAACGTAATTACTTTGGGGATCATTAACTTGAATTTATAACATTAAAACCTGAAGACAATTCATTAAAAAAGAATGTTCTTCGTTCATATGTCAGTGTTTTAATGTGATGGGAATTCTTAAACAGCTAACAATGTGATTTTCAAAAAGCTTGTGAGAATAAGAAAACAATTGACAATCTGGTTTTTATGGATGATATTTGTCACAGATTAACGTCCATTCAGTAAAAACGACGGAATACTAGCCATGAGTTTTGTTCTAGAATGGTACTACTCATCATTGAGTAACCAATTTTAAAGTTAAGATTCGATACCACTGGTTAGTAATCCAGTGTCCCAAAAGTCAAGCTGTCAGCTGGTAGGACAAAAAAACCAGTCCAATCTACCCTGGTTATCAGTGGTACCCAACTGAGTTGTCTCTGTGATAAGTCTCATCCACAACATATTGAACTAATCTCAACTAAAACCCATCACCGATTTTATTCTTAGTTCATTTCAATCTGTGACTAAAATATACAAACAAATTAATCGACATAATGACTAAAACGAAAGTTTGTTACCATGGTGTTAAGGGTTAGGTATTTTTCCTTTGAGCTAAAAATAAGAGATAAGTGATCACATTACCTATATAAATTTAGAACATTTGTAAAGCTAAACAACGCCTTTATCCTAACTTTAATTTATTGAATTTCCGTGATAGAATTTCTTTCATTGTTATGATTTCCATAAATTTAAGTTGTAATGATTCTGTGTATTTTATTTACTATTTTACGAGTGGTTGTAAAAATAATGCTCAACGTTATTAAATCATTTTCATAAGACAGGATTCTATTTCCATGAATTATGTCGAAAGTATCAACGACTTAGTCTTATTTTTTATCCTTTCCAAGTATCCGTTTGACTATAGAAGTTCTCGAAGTGTAGTTTGCATACAATGGAACCACTGAATCTGTGTTACAGAAGTTAGGTGCAGAATACTAAATAGAAATATCATGTCAACGAATGAGGATGTAATTTTTTTTCAGCTCAGATATTGTAAACTCACTGTACTGTGCCGACTAACATAATATAGTTTGAGGAAAAAGTAGGAGTGACTAAATTAAATCAAACCGTCATTCTATGAACTCAATTATTTTATGACAGATTCGTGTAATGACTTGATCCATAATCCGTAGCAGTGGATCAGATTCATTTATTTATCATTTTCCACTAGCTGACTAGCTTAGAATTTGGTTTAGGATGCCACTGATATTATTATTTCAACTCCATAGTTTCTCACCCTGTTCAATCCCACTCTCATTCTGGTGATACTGAGCGTAAGAACTCGGGGAAACAAACATATATCCTCGGTTATAAGAATGAAATCACTTTTTGACAATGATAATGGTTTTTATGTTTAATCTAGACATCTTTTGGTAATTCATGAAGGAAAGGAAATCAACAAGGACTCAAACTTTTCCGGATAAACTAGAAGAATATGAGTTGAAAAGTTAAGCTAAATACCAGATGATTAAGTGTCTAAATTCTAACGTGTTCATTTCAATATATATATATATATATATATATCGGTAGATACTGATAGACATAAAGTAGTGAGTTGTATAATTCTTTTTCCTAAGCAGTCAGAGAGGATCTCTTCAATAATACATTGAATCACTTACCTTCATACAAATATTCGAGGGTTAAACACTTATTATCCCAAATGGGTTGGATAGCTGTTTCGTTCTGATAAGGAACAACTTAGCTGTGTAACCGTGACCCCAATATCAGGGGTCGAACCCAGGACGTTCAGTTTCTCGTACGAGTGCTTAACCTCTATACTACCTAGCCAGCATTTTGTGAGTTATATATTTAGCCTCAGTTTATCTATAATATCGTGGAACCATCTTCCAATGTATCTTGTGAGTACCTATCTCAGGATTGTTGGATTCCACAAGGTGATTGGTAGTCATCTAGTACTAATTTGGTACACTAGTTATCCCTTATGAAACCAAACTTAAAAACGTATCACATTTAACGGTTACTGATAATCTACTTTACTGGGAATTAGGGATCAGCACATTTCAACCTTGCAATACATAAATACTTTCGTCTTGTAGCATTGAGATTTATGTGTCTCATCACCCTACGTTTTACTAAAGAGACCGTATTTCGTTCATCTTATAATTGACATTTAGTAAAGGAATTAGTGCTCAGAATGAGTTTCTACATCCTGGAGCAAATATCTCTTACTTATTCCAAGGTGTGCTTTGAAATAGTAAATGATTAAAAGTAGATTGACTGGTATTTGATACATGTAAATTATTATATATAAAATTAACCAAAAGAATTGATTTTTCTATGCGAATAAAATGATATCCTTAATAAAAGAATCTTATTTAATTCCAACAGATTTCTGATCTTATAGGGACTCATTAAAGGAGACTTTCATGCGTTTGACTAGAAAATTGAGAAATTCTTAGAATGAATAATATTCAGTGTTCAGACTCTAGGAGAGTATGTCACGTAGAATTACTGTATTTTGAAACAAGAATTGTGTACATTAACTGATAAAGATAATTAACAAACAACAAATAGGGTGACATAAATTAAAAACCATAAGCCAAAATTCTTTATCTTCACTCAAGGTTTTAAGGCATATGATCACCCATTATTTATCTCACTATGCAATTTTGACCGAAGTAAACGGAAACTGAGAATAGCCTGAGGGTGGTCAAAGATAGATTGTATAATTATTAAAAGTCGGTTTTGGTTTTCAAAAAACGGCAAGCGTTTTAACCATGATATAGTAGTTAGGGGGACCATTGAGGGGAGTGCTTTGATGAACTTGCATGAAAACCATAGAATCAGCACAACTCCACTCTCGCTTCTTCTGGCTTCTAAAAAAATTTTGTTTAAGATATATCTGTTTTCGCATGGGATCTCGCTCGATTTCTCCACTGTGTCGTTAAGATCTGGAACCATTCAAAACGATATATCGTTTAACACATCTATGTGGCTATCGATCCGCTATTAAAAACATCGCTAGTGACAAGGGTTGTGTTCTCATAATTTTAAATTGAATACCAGCTAAATTTGGAGATACAACTACTAGAATATTCTATTCGAAACGCGTTTAAACTTTGATGGTCAAAGTATGTTTCTCACAAACTGATATATAATTTGACGATGAACACAAATGGAAAATACGTTTTGATGAAAAGTTTTCTCTTGAATAAATATATGGATCATCTATTTTCTCTTACTAATTTATGACGTCCAATTAAAAAGTAGTTATTTTACATTCATATTAACTTAATCAAATTTTAGTTTGGAAAGCTGATATTGAAGGACTAACCTTGTATTGTCGGTCTTTCCATAACCGATATGATTCTCTCAATTTGATTGATTGTCGATGTACCGGGAAATAATGCTTTACCAAGTAACATTTCGCCTAATATGCACCCTAAGCTCCATATATCTACATATTTTGTATAACGATTTGAAGCTAGCAGAATTTCTGGCGCCCGATACCATCTCGTAGCTACATATTCGGTTAACACAGGATTGTCATAATCATCATCTCCATCTATAAATGATTCCATAGATGTTGTACGATTTTCTAGAGTATTTGTCAATGAACGTGTCAAGCCGAAATCACATAGTTTCACTAAACAGTCTGAGTTTAACAGAACATTAGATGGCTATAAATGTAAACGAAAAAAATATATAAAATAAGCAGTATCAGGATAAATCTTATCACTGACTGAAAGTAACAGGATACATACAGAGTACTGACTACTTGTTTTATCTTCAACTCAGAAAAATGTCCACAAACTACTTGTCAAAATTTGATTAATGGAATATCCTCAACAGATGGTGATCAGTCAGTATTAGAACGTTTTATCTTATTACACATAATGATAAAATATATGATGAATAATCTATTTTTGGAAATTATTTAGTCAACAAAATTTGTTCTAAAATGTTTAAAACTTGATTACTTCATTGTGATATCTTAATTTACTTTTAGTTATTTAAATAAAAATAGAATAAAATGGTATATTCGAAACGTCCCACTAGGAAAAGAAGTGAGAAAATGATATCATATGTCAATAGTTCAGGTTTAGACATTCGTTTCCGAATAAAACAGAAAGTCGCTTTTATAATGGAAACAAGAAAATTGCACGAGAGAGCAAGAATTAAGTAAGAATAGAAAATTTAATATACGTAATTCAGAATTAGATATAAAATAAATTCCTTATCATCAACAACTTCATTTATCAGTCAAATGAGGTTGAGGATCACTCAAATCATCACTTGCGTAGGTTTACGCAAAACTAAATACTGGAATACTACTGTTGATCATTCTTTTAGTTTAAATGCATCTCATAATTTTCCTTTAGAATAGTAAAATTTATGATAGACTAGATGTAAAAGTATCATTAGATAATAGTATGACAGCTCAGATACAAACAGGTTTCTGTAACTTAAAATCAATTTAAATAAATTAAACCTCGCTGATCTAAAAATTTAGACGATAACTATAACGATGGTACACTATGAAAACTGAATATCCATAAAATCTGGTCTGAAAGCTAAGATATAATTAAATCAAATGGATGAGCAGTTTTAGGGAAAAAGATATATCTTCCCATTCTGATGAACAAACTGGAATTTATAATTTTGTTTAATATTTGAAAATCTTTAACATAATATAACCACAACATAACTTATACTGTGCAGTTACGAGCAAATCTTTTTAAAAAAACTTATAAGTAAAATTATATAATTATATTAATGGGTATAAGTAGATATTTCATTTTGCGACAAGAAATAGTATTAAAATTGTCATAAACAGTTAAGTGTTAGATGATCGAAAAAACGCTAGATAATAAGTAGTTCTGTATCATAAACTGATTTTGTTAAATAATCTTAATTAATGGATCGAGTTTTATACCCCAGATTTAGAAGTAACTTCTTTGGGGGCAATAAACATATCTTGCAAAAGAGTAAGAGAAAATAGGTGGATATTTTCCCGATGATAATTTAGTTTTCACTTATAGTTTCCCGAATAAGACTGATTTACAATGGGAACCATTTTTGACAATTCGCGAAATTTCCCGGTTGTTATATATTTGTTTTACTTATTACAGTTTTCAATTCTACGTCCCCTTTGTTTAATTTTAACAGGCGTCACAATTTATCTGTCTTAAAGATGTGTGAGGAAATTAGACCTCCTAAATCATTTACTATCTATACTTTCTTTATTGGTCATGAATTACGTCGTCGGACCAAAATTCCATCTGGTATTACAGATAATGAATTGGTAAAATTACTCGTATCCTTTTTCCCGAATATACTCTTACGCTATCCAGTCAGAAACTAGAATGTCGCCCAACCATAAAGATTCACATTTTTCCTATCGTATACTTGAACACTTAAATTTGTGGGTATGCGAATCCCGCTACAGCTTTATAGCTCATTCTACTTGATTTGGAAGGGAAAGCGGAATATCATGATCACATTTTACAGATTCAGACTATTATGAAAACTATTTAACTCACCCCGTAGCCATTCTACAGTTAATGCAGGTTCCAAGCCCGAGTAAAGTAGGAGGGTCTGGCATGGGGTCAGCCACCCCGCTCCATAGAAAACAACGTTACTAAAACACTCTAACCAGAAAAAATAATTCAAACCATTTGAAATCTATCCTGGCAGTTGGAGAATCTTCATTTAGGAGAATTATGACGTCTCATGGTGAAAGCCGATATTCCTCTGAATTCACGAGACCGATATCTCTCCTAACGACCAAGAGACAATTAATATAGATACATGGGATGTCCGGACAATCTTGGAGACCGGAAGGACCAATCAAACAGCCACAGAAATGAAGAGACACAACTTGGTGGTTCTCGGAATAAGTGAAACCCATTGGACCCATGCTGGATAGAAAAGATTAGCTTTGAGAGAAGTGTTATTGTACTCTGGTCACCAAGAACAAAACGCTCCACACACGGAGTTGCTCTGATGCTGTCCAAAGAAGCACGTAAAGCACTCATAGGATGGGAATATCATCATTCCAGGATCATCAAAGCACCATTCAAAACAAAGAAGGAGGGGATCACAATGAATGTTATCCAGTGTTATGCACCCACAAATGATAGCAGCGACGACGATAAAGATCCGTTTTACGAGGCTTCAGTCGATCATGGCGAAGTGCTCAGGAAAGGATCTAATCACCCTGGTGGGAGATCTAAACGCCAAAGTCGGAATAGAAAACACCGGATATGAAGATATCATGGGACGACATGGACTAGGAGAAAGAGACGAGAATAATGAGATTTGCAAATCTATGTCTATTCAACAAAATGGTTATAGGCGGCACAATATTCTTCCATAAAGGCATACACAAATCTACATGGGTCTTACTGGACCACACTAAAAAGAATCAGATCGATCATATCTGTTTCAATAAAAGCAGCATTACAAACGTTTAATATAGCCTTGCTTTAATATACTGACAAAGTCGACGAATTCAAGATAGCTCTCAACAACAGGCTCCAAGCCTTACATGGTCGAATCAAATAAGAAGAAACTACTATGAAGAACGACCGGAAGGCATCATTATGACCATCAGATAAATCATGTGGGCAAGCAGCAAAACCATATAACACAACACATGAAACACGTAAGACATAGAGGTAACTTCTAAGATGCTTCATGTACTGTTAAGACAAATTTGGGAGGAAGAGCAACCACCATCAGACTGGAACGAAAGATAAATCGTCAGGATACCAAAGAAAGGAGATCTTAGTAAGTGTGGGAACTACAGGGGGACCACACTACTGTAGGTACCAGGAAAGGTTTTCATTAGTGTGTTGCTGAACTGGATGAAAGATTCAGCAGACAACCAGCTTTAAGATCAAGAGGCTGGATGAATTGGTCGCATACCGATTAAATCGTGACACTACAGGTGATTGTTGAGGTCGTCACTATTCATCGACTTATTTGACTATAACAAAATATTCACAGAATAGATATAAGGACCTTATCGAATCTCTTTTGACACTATGTCGTACCTGAGAATATCATCATCATCATATGGAATTCATACGACAAACTACACTGCAGAGCGGTGCATTGAAGTCAGCTCACAGATCCATTCTAAGTGTAGACCGGTGTCAGATAAGGATGTTTTCTTTCTCCCTTTCTCTTTATTCCGGCGGCTGACTGGAGTTCGAAAACCTCCATATCTCAGGCAAAGCACGAAACACAATAGACAACTTGGATGCCGCTAGACGATCCGGACTTCGCAGATGACCTAACTCCCTTGTCCCATACACAGCAAAAATGCAGGTGAACACAGCCAGTGCAGTATCAACCTCTACAGCAGTAGGCCTTAACATGCACAAGGGAAAAGGCAACACCCTGAGTGAACAAGAATGTAAATATGCAGATTGTTTCATAAATTTCTCTAAGGTAAACAAACTTTCCTTTTTCAAATTTGGAAAGATATTAGGAAGAAAATGTCAGTTATTCGACGATTCCATCAGTCCAAAATACTTTACAAAATATATTTTTACTGTTAGTTTATACATATACATATTGTTGCTGTGGGAGGGTATTGAAGGTTTTAAAGAATAAATAAATAAATAACTTTTAACGTATGAAGAATAAGCCATTTCATGATATGTTCAATGTGAAGAATAAATGGGTCAGTAAAAGGAATGTTGGGTGGCAAAATTTAAATAAAAAATTGGCTGTTGGGTGTGTTCAATTGTAAAGAGGGAATACTTACCCAAACATATACAAACCTTAGTTTTTCACAGTACATATATAAACATAAATAAAATAATGGAAATAATAGAATCTTTAGCAGGGTCATACAAAAAATTGTACACAGTGATAAACAATGGAATGTAATATAAATAAATATAATAAAGAGTGAGAAACGAAATAAGATTGCTATCAAAAACGATTTATCAATAAAAATAGTAAAATAGAACTTCATACAAATAAAGGTATTAACATCATCACAGGAAATTAAAGCTGACAAACACAGAGTGGCAAATAAAATGATAAGACAGAGGAAAACGAGTAAACAGCGTTGGAGTGGTGAGATATTTGTAAATTATAGAAAAAAGTTGAACCAGTAAGATTAGCTTGTCCTTTTATTTCTTACGACCTAAATATCTAATTGTAAAACCAACACGTAATACAGCCTACAAAGACAATAACCGAAACTAATGTTTAGTATTATATTTCGGTCCGGTTGGCTCGAAGTTACACTGAATGCAAACAACTCCAGCATTAGGAATCGTTACGGATTGAAGTAACTGCTCAATTTAATTAAATAATTAAAGGAATAGGAATTGCTAATTATATCAAAATAGTAAAAACAATCAGTTATAGTCTCATATCATTAATTATTTACTATCAGCTATTTGCTTCTAGATTGTACTGTATGAAAACATATGGACTTTATTAGTACCTAATAATAGCCATCGTGAAGAAGCCCAAATAACAAGAAAAAATCTTATCCATTGATGTGAGTGTGTTCAGTCTTTTGCAAGCATTTCTCAAATTTAGTTGGTTTAGTATTGCCTCTTTCTGTAATGCCGCGGAGTGCAAAAGCCAACAACGGCCTGTTATAATGTAGGGCATCACTTTCGATCTACAAATATCACACAGTAATATAAACAGAGCTAACCAACGCTTGATACGCGTGGGAACTGTTAACAACCAAACTCAACAATCTTTTGATAGAGTTCTTATTGCGAGAAGTATCTTGAATGATGTTGTTTAGAGGCATCTGTCTAAATACCAGGACGTATAAGCAATAAGTTGACTTAATTGAATAAACAAATTTTTTCAATGTTTCATCAGTATAAATTGAGAGGTTTATTTTTTTTCAGCAGTCAGGATTCACGGTCAATCGATAACCAGATTTACAAAGCATCTTCACTGTTTTCAAACTTTTTGCGCTCAACTTAGTAGCACAATGTTCTAATTCCATGTGAGTCAGTTTTATTATACTTTCAAGTGAATTTCATCTACACATTTAGACATATACAAGAATGTATCCCACATGATTCGTGACTAAATCATTATGGTGTTTGAGAAATAATAAAAAAGCGAGTTGTAAACAATTGTATTTTCTGAACTAGAAAGTTAAATCAAATTAAACATAGTTGCAACCTTCTGTCTGAAATAAAATCATTCCTAGATGAAATATAAGGTAGACTATATGAATATCATATAGTTAGCGTTTATATCTCACTTGATGACTATATATATCACGATGAGTCGCTTTAAGGCTTGCAATAAAGCATCGAAGTTTATCATTTATTGTCAAGTCTTACAACCTGGCTGAGCTAAGAGCTTTTGTATAGGCGGTTTATTTTACTTTATTAGGCGAAGATATGTTCGAGCGACTTGCTTTAAGGTTTATATAAAGGACATAAACTACTACCTAATCAGTCGAGTTTTTGTTTTAACTATTTTTTAGAGAATAAAAGTAAATTCGTAGAAATTAAGCATCACCAGTGCCTTGTGTAAAAAGATTAATGGAAGCAAATAGCTTTGGCTTAAACTCTTGAAGAGAAACTGTTATCGGTGTTTTTAAACATTCGGGCAGAACGATTTCAAATCTGAATTTCAAGTAACCTCAAGCATATGGTAAAGATTGTAACAGATAATGTCTGGATCACAGTATTTGGGTCCTTTTCCAATGCAAACGATTTTGAGCCATGTCTTTCAAGGTCTCTAACCATCGGCTGCTATCATCTCGCGGATCCCAACCAAGTGGTCTACATCTACCAACATGGCTCAGTTCAATAAATAAATATGACTGACTTGCTAAAGTATAATGGGCCATTTATTCAAAAATGACAATCAAGAGTTACAGTTTTTTAGCCAATATTTCTGAAATATGGAGAAAGTCACTTGGCAACCAAACGGTGAGTTTATGTTTCAAATATAAGTGGGACTTGCTGAAAAAAAGAGACAAAACAAAATGTTTTTTGCTTTTACCTTATACTGGTCGCATTCCGTCCCTGTGAGATGAAAAACTGCATTCTAAAATTCCGTGCATTAAGCAATGACTTTTAAAGAAATTATGTCATATTTCTCCGTTATGCCTGTCTTAATGTATTTGTTTGAAAAAGTTGATCCCAACATTTTGAAAATTCCTACAAAATTAATTTGCATTTGTACTAAAACGAGACTACAAGTCACATAGTTTTTTTTAACAAAAATACACATAAAAAACAGCTTCGTACAAAGTTAAGAAGCAAAAGTGGGTTTCAGTAGTACATAAGAGTATCAGACACTGTATGAGACACATGAACGTTTATCTTCACTTCTGAGAAGGGAAAGAAAAAAGTTCATTTTATTCAATGGGATCAAAAGCTCCGATTTGATAAAATGAGACTAATGACGACTTTAACAACTCAGTACATTTATTTGAGTAGAAAATAGTTGTTCAGTTGGTAAAAATAATAATAAAGGACATCCATGTTAACAATAAAACTTCTACATATGTCTATTTCACAGTATATTCAAATAACAACGATTCTTACTGTTTTAAAAGTGAAGTTCGATGAGAAAGTGTTATGTGTCAGTAAATAAAATGGCGACAAAAGCAGTGTTGGGTGCCTTTATAAAGCGATCCCACAGAATAAATATCATGAGAATGTCTTACCTTTAAATCACGGTGTATTACATTCCCGGAATGAATATATTTAACTGCTCGTAACAACTGGTACAAAATGAACCTTTTATGAACATCTTTCAGAATATTTCCTTTTTTGATGCAGTTATTTAAGTCAGTTTCTGTTTTTCATTAAAAATGGAAGTTTTAATTACCCATGTATTCAAAAACTAAGTAAATATCTTTGTCGTTCTCCGCCTTTATAACATTTAAAAGACGGATGATATTTGGGTGATTGGAAAATTGCTGTAAAAATGATATTTCTCGAAACGTTCTCTGAACGACTGGTTAAGATTGTGCTTTATACCTGAGCATCTGTTTGATTCCTGAAAGCATCAAATATCTTTTTGAGTGCTAACTTTTTGTGTGTTTTCTTATTCACCGCTTTCCAAACTATCCCATAAGCCTGTGGATAGTAGGAAAATTATATGCCACAAACCCCTTTTCCTATACGTCTCTCAATTGTGTAATTTTTTAAAATAACTGGTTCTACTTCTAGTTGTGTCATTTTTCTTGCATTTTGATAAAGCGGGAACTCCGTGTAGTCAATAGAAACAAGTTAAAACAACAGCATCATATATTGTTATGACATTTCGGTTCACTTTCTTTGTCGTGTTTATGTCCTTCAGGCTATTTACCTCAGACCGCGAGGCTGGTCATTTCAGAAACTGAATGAATACCTGTCGACAGAATGCCTGCACAATAGTAATTTGTTTCGTCTGACCAGTCTTATTATATACAGAGTTAAAGAGTCAGGTGCAGAAACAAAAAGCTTCCAGGCAGATTCTTTTGAGACTATTCCATTGGTGAAGTCGATTTGGTTTTTTATTTTACTGTGGATTGATCTGTTTCATTTTCGTCTTTTTTTGCAATACATCAAACTATTGTTTGCAATTTTTCAAAATCCAGTGCCCTTTAAACAAGTGAATGTAAACATCTGGTTACACTGTGCTTGCTTCAAGTTGTTTCGGTACATTCTGGGGTCATTCGCAGTGTCTAACGGGCAGTAGTATTTCCGCTCGTCTCTTCTATTTCTAGTCAGTCTGGTTATTTCGATTGTGTAAGAATTCGAAATTGGAGCTATTATTCATGAGTATGACACTCGCTTTGAAAAATTTCTAGGTGTAGCCCACACTGATCTTCAGGCACCTTGTAGGTAATGGTCCTAGGTCGTGGTTTGTGAAGATAAATGGGAAGGGACTTTTATTACAAACGTAACTCTGTTCCTACACGTGAATCTACATGTTTTTATGTGACAGTTTCACGGGTCATATTATTACACTGACCACAACCTCCTTTTCATTTGTTATGAGGACTGTAGCAGTAAATAAACTCCCAAAATAAATAGCTCTGTAAGTTTTCGACATTGGATGCTGACCATATTGGTTTTAATGGAATCACCTAGCTGAAGGCTCCCGGTCATGCATCCGCACCAGATCACGAGTAGGAACGCCGTGCTCAACATCTCCTGCAATCGCTAGCCAGATTAGATCAACCGACCTCGATATATTGGTATCCTATCAAATATATCTTCGAACCTCCTCGCTTCTGTCTTTTGATTTCACTTGGTGGGTACGATTCATATTGGAAGGTGTTACTGGTTAAAGCACTGTCAAACTCCGAATACCTGTGGCATCTTCGGGATCTTTTAGAAGTCGAGTGAATCCTCTCATATTTCCATATGTCTCTATATCCTCACGTATTCAGAGCAGATTAGGACCATTGGATTATTTCTACTAAGAAAGTTGTGAATGAAAATTTCGAAGAGAATTGGTTTTACAATGGTTTCGTGTGAAATGACCTGTTTCAAAACAATTCATTTTCCATTCACTCTATTTACCTTGATGCTGAACACCCGGTTTCCCAGAAAAACAACGTGAGTAGGTGATTGGAACTTGTCTTAGTAACTTTTACTATAAAAGATTATTGTGGTAACGTGTTGAGAGCTTTCCCGATGTTGAAGAATATTACATAGACCGGTATCTTTGATCACAGTAGATTGTCCAACTAAACGCTTGTTGTCTGCTTTTTCTGGGTCTGTGTTGAACTTCATGAAGTTTACTGTCTGCGTGCACGTATACTATTATCTAGTTATTGCACGTAAATTCCATAATGCGACCGGTCTGTTACAAGTTGTTTCCTTCCCTTCCCTTCTGAAGACTGAATAAAAAAAGTCTGTGTCCATAATCTTGGAAGTTGCTGAAATTTCGGTTGGTGGCTAGATAGGTCAGATATCGGTGTTATGACAGGCAAGACTATGGGTATGAGTAGTTTTCACGCACCGATGACTTTACTGAGCGCAAAAGCCCTGGTTTTCTCACTTCTAACCCAAGAGATTCATGGATATTCCACAGACCGTTATCTGGTGGCAGAGTGGAAGTGTGTTTCATGCTTGTAAGTTTCTGATTTCATTGCGTGACCGAATTAGAATCAGAGACTTCTGTTGCTGCTAGATTGATAATTTCGTCATCGTAAAGCCACTAAAGTTTACAGGTTTGTTTGTTTGTAAGCTTCCATCTTTAAATGAAATCATGGCTTGTGTTTTAGCTCCTAACTTAGTCTGAAAATACCTCTTGTCATTTCATACCTTATACTGCTCCTGCTTCTTAGTGTTAAGTAGAACGTCTTATCTGAATTTTATACAGAAACTCTTCACTTACCCGAGGTTCTTTTTGTACACAGGTGTTCTGCTCCTCACTTCAGCCTGGTTGTTATCTGCTCGGGCACGTGGTTATCTTGATGCACAATATAATCCCCACATAAAATTAGGAAGTTATTAATTCTCACTTCCAGGTATTATTTTTTTCTAGCAGCAGTTTACTGGCTACCTTTGTATCCTTTGTCTACCACAGACGTTTTCACTATGGATTCCTGGAAATATCCTACACGTTATCTCATTAGTTATCCTAATTAGACGTTATACGTTCTGTAGATCTTCATCAATGCGTAAGATATTCTCTTTGAGCCATGTGGTGTCTAATATGTAACGAATGTAGGGAAAATCCTCGTCTTTCTGGAATATATTGTTTCCGATCATTTTAAAGACGGCTGTGCTGTGACCACTATCTTCATTAGTATCCGAACATGAACATATGTAACCAGAAGCTGATGATTTGATAGAAGGTGATCTGAGTTTGAAGATTTCCCCTTTTCCCCTAATCACATAACATCGCTTAAATGATAGTTGTGACGACCTGTTTTTGAAACGAGCACCCTACTCTGTGATATCCACAGACGCAGTACTGGGTTTCCGTGCCATGAGCATCTGATCAGATCACAGGTATGGTTGTGGTGATTACAGCTGGAGTACTTTCTCCATTTGAGTGGAAGTGCCTGTAGAAGGGTGTTATGTTCCTACAATCATTTAATTGATGCCTTTCTGGATAAAACAAAGTTAGGAAGACTTTGGCAAATGGACTGTTTGAGCAGTAAGTTGTATTGTGATAGTGAATGTATATCGCCATTCGACTACCTGTTTAATGTTCACTATCACGTATGAATATTCTCATGCCTTTCATCTCCACCTCATTATTTGTGATACTATAGTGTTATTGGTTTCTAACTATAAGATTATGGAAGCCAAACATATAATAGCTGAGAAGATTGTTATTCAAAATGTAACATTTGGAGGAGGCCGGTAATGGTGAGGGCGGGAACTATGATCCTAATTTGCATGGCCCGACCACTCAGGCGTGGTCACTTTATATAAAACCTATTGCATATTGTGCTGAGTATACTGCTCTATACCCATCCATATTGCGTTCATCAGAAGTATTTAACACCATATTGTTGATCCTTATGTAGGACGAGTCAGTGTAGACAATGGCGTAAGATCTCATAGGTTAGGTTTTCACACCATGTAGCATCTACAATTTTTGGGTTAGGTCTATTTTTACGGTAGCAAATGTAAGCATACTAATACCTAAGTAGGCTGTAATTCTACGACTTGAGTGACGAGCTAGGTTTTATTTAGAAGAACAATCCTTAGTTCAACTTAGAAACACGTTTTTCCTATTACCCACATTTTCCCTTTATATACCTTTAGGTTGCTTACTGACTGTCGCATTTCCTTGTGTTATTTTATGGAAGGATCTGTTTACGAGGTTGTAAACAGACTACAGTCTGGAACAGGCTGTCCAGTTCTGTGTGAACTGTTTAATATCACTTATTTTCTCATCGATCGAGTTGAGTTGGTAAATGTAAGATCCATTTTGAATGTTTTGTGTGTGAAAATTCCTCCATTTATACATTTGCAGTTTGTTCCTATTTATTCCTTCAGTTGTACATTTTGTTAGTCTTTTTGATTCTATTTGGGTTGATAATATTTGTATTTTATTATAGTTTTTATTTTTCTTACGCCTTCACTAAGTTTCCGTGTTTCTTCCTGAACTGCATTTATGTTGTTTTACTTGGTACTTAGCCTTGTCGGCAGCCATATTGGTTCGTTCCCTCTTTTGGTTGTTTTGCTTGTATTGACTGGAATTGTGCATTTTTGATTGTGAATTGAAGCACTGTTCCAGAATTGGAATTGTTATAAAGCAACCAAGTATTATTTTTTGAACGAATCAGTGCGTGATCTATCCAGACAGGATAGAATAACATTTGTTTGTTGTGATTGGTGATTTTCACGCATCTTTTACCAACTTTTTTATTTATTGTAATCCAGATCTGATTAATTAAACAATTATTGGTTGGTTAGCTGGGTGGTTATATTTGTTTCCGTAACAATGTACATTTAGATTTATGATGAATTTTAGAACCGTCATTTTACCTAATCACTGTGTTTTGGTTTCAACCGGGCAAGAGCGCGTATCTAACCCACCTGGACAGCAATTCTTCAGTTCAAACCCTAGCTTGGATCTTACAGCTTAAGTGTATTGTCGAGGTTGACTAGACTTAAATGAGTTTCTTGAGTTGCTCAGCTTTTTGTGCATATTAGCTTCCTCTGAACAATTACCTAGGTACTCAGATACGCAACCGACTATCATACTCGTCAGTTCTTCAGTATTACTGATAATTTGATTGCGGCAACTCTTACAGATTATACTGCGATACGTTTACGTCCGACGTCCGATGACTATTTGACTGGCAATCTTTAGACATCAGTAGGGTTTTGTATTCCGACACAAGAGTCACCTTTTCTTTACGGCGTTTTATGAACTTAGGACTTATTCCATTGAGTTCTGCAGATTTTCTTGCTTTGTGTGTATTTTATAAAGCAAAGATATCGAACACTGTAATGGTTACAACGCCCAGAGTTGGTACTGGAGGATGTGTTTGCTCACGAGGGAAGGGAGTATTTACAGCCTATGACCATTTTGCAGTGATAGATAGCAACCTAAGAGGTCTAGATTGATTTATGTTCGATTCCGTTTTCTGCACACTTATTATAAAAGCGTTTAACAGGGTGTCTGTAAGATCCGTTTGAATGTTTGGTGTATGTGAAAATCCCTCCACGTATACACTTGCACTTTGTTTCAATTGACCCCCTCAGTTGTACATTGTTAGTCTTTGGATTACAGTTGAATTGTTAATATTTGTATTTTGTATTATAGTTTCTTCCCGAACCGCGTCTATGTTGTTTTACTTGATACTTGTTCCTGGCGGCAGCCATATTGACTTGCTCCTCCTTTTGTGCGTGTTCTTTCCAGTCAGGATAGAATAGTGTTCATTTGTTGTGACTGCTAATTTTTCCCGCA